AGATAAGGTTTCCTAGCATTTCATATTAGTGGTATCGTTGAATACAGAAGAGGAATCGTTGAAGAAGGGAACATTGAATAGTGAAGGGTAGATAGAGTGGATGAGTGAACGATTGGTAGCTGAGAGCTACTTCGAGAGAACATCATTTTTTCGCCAAAAATTTCCATATTCGCTTAGAAAAAAGTCTTGACGATTACAGAGAGATAAATTGTGTGATAACGGTGGGCATGCTGCAGTTAAAATGTACAGCTGAGCTAACTGTTCATATGAACATGACCACCGCCATCTCGCATCGTCGAGTTTCAGAACGGCTCCACTGGAATGAGTGTGGGTCGGTCTTCCATTGCTGAGATTGTAAAGCAGACTCTTCTTCACTGCCCACGAAACAACTGCAGAGTTTAACTGTGTAATATCCGTTGCTGACGGCAGGGTATCACACGAAATCCTCTCCTGAACAATAATAACAGCAGTTTTGAATCGAACGAAGTCATTTATAAAGCTCTTAACTACTGAAATCGACTATAACTTCCGAAATAGACTGCACCGTGAGGATTTTCATTATCTAAATCGATTGCAGTTCAGGAAGTTCTTTCAACGTAGTAAAAACCGCCATGAAGAAGAACTTGGTACATGTCAAAACTTTTGAGTGAAAGTGTTATCCGATTTCGTTAGCGAGAGAATTTTGCGATCTTTTTCATATACAATGACGGTTAACCTTCCCTTTGAAGTAGGATCGATCGCTCGCATTGGCAAGGATATTGACCTCCTTGGAATGATACCCCACCAAGAATGAAGTCGAAAATAGCATTTAAATTCTATAGGAAACTAATATAATAGTAACTTATTGCTTAAAGTAGAGTTCTTACCATCGAAATCGTCTTCTTTCTTCATAAAAAACCACTAATACAGACAGATCCATACGTTGTGTTTACAATGTAGTTCCTGTCGATGAGATTTATAGCTCTGCACAAAACATATGCGCTGAGATCTCAAGAAAAACGACTTTCAGGTATCTCAAACGCTTGTTAGATTGAAAACGTTTGAACTCAATGAACCAATGATCGCATGAGAAGTTGGAATAAAATAGAAATTGAATTGAATCAGAAATCAACTATGGAGAACCTAACTACTGATTACTGAGAGTACTGATCTCTTGTAATACATGCGGAGATGGATATATTGGCGAAACGGGCAGACCTTTGTGTATCCGTATAAAAGAACACCTAGATGGCAAACGAAAACTAAGACGAAGCACCCCACTAGGCACGCATAGGATACAAAAGCACAGCGGAGACGATTTTGAAGTAAAAGTCAATATCCTTGCACAGGAGTCCGAAACACCAGCGCGAAAACTTCTTGAGGCTTTTTGGATCAATGACAAAAACCCTACAATGAATAGCAGGGATGAATGCCCGGAGGTCATACGCGACCTGATCCCGTACGTTCGCATCGATTTTTCTTGGATCAATGCCAAAGACCCTACAATGAATAGCAGGGATGAATGCCCGGAGGTCATACGCGACCTGATCCCGTACGTTCGCATCGATTTTTGATGTGGGATGGTGCAGTCATCAACCATATGCGACTATAATCAGCTGTTCTAAATTTCCTCATTGGAAGTCACGAAAAAAGCGGCTCTGAAAAAGGCGATACTGCCGAAACGTCAGACAGTGTTGTATCGTATTGTGTTTTTCTATGGAAGTAAATGTATACTGTTTAAAAACCTCGAGATTGCTGAGCAAGAAAACGAGGCACCATTAGGATAAAAAAAAGAACTGACTAATTTTTGTACAATGTTTATCAAATCCAAATTTGTTTAAAATTAGCATTTTCAGGAAACTGATGGCGAAAGTCAGCTTTTTAAAATTTCCAGCGGAACAGCGAATACTGGAATTAGAAAAGGTGCACTGGAGAACAGCATTGTTTCCTGATGGGTGAAATTCCACATGTTCATTCAAAATTGTATTTGAAATAGAAGTTCGGAAACAAAAAGGCGGAAGAAATGCATGTCATGGGCTTTAGAGAAACAGGGTATAGTATTAACGAAACAAGTGAACTTTTGTGCCGTATGCGAATATTTATATATTCTAATACTTTAAATTGCCAGTAATAAGAATCGTTATGAGCTAGTGGTGCGTGCTGCGCAGTGGCTGGAGGCGCCCTGCAACGCACACTTGGAATCAATCGCCGCGACTATGGCCCAACAAGCCTTCCACCACTCCAGGGTTGACAAATTGGTACCAGATTTATCTGGGGGGATAGCAGCACTTGCTCGATTCATCGGTAGGCAACCGCAAGTCACTGTAAAGGCGAGATACACATTCAATGACCTGCAAACGATGCTTAATGAAGTCGAATGCATGGCGCGTCCCTAAAGATATTGATCAACGCCTAGAGCTTTATCCTTTATTTTTTATGAGGTATTAAATGTTCATTTAGAACTGAAAGTTTCCGTTATTTCCGCATCGTATGACTTTTATAGAGCTCACGTCGTCACGTGCGTCTCAATAAAAAGGGTAGTCACAAGCTCAGAAGAACTGGTGAAATCCTAAAATACCTAGCATTGAATGAATATCGACATAAAAATGGCTAAACCTTTCTGAATACGATAATGAATATTTCATGAATTGGGACACCTTTTCTTTACGTATAAACATTCTTTTATCGAATTTATAGTCCGATGTCAATAGCGATACGTTGTCACAAAAGGAAGGCCTGTAGTTCTTCTAAGAATCCAATCCTACATTAGAATTTTAAATGGAATACTATTGTAGTTCGGATTATAAACGTACATATGATCAACTTCCTTAAAAGTCATATCGAGGTAATGCTGACTGCTAAAAACATCCGTATTGCCGACGGAAAGCGCTTCAGCGTTTTCGGGATCGACCACAAGCTGACGGTACGCGGCGAAAATCGGTTGGACCTGAAACGAAAATTGTGTATGCACCATTCCCTCAAAAATCATAGATGTCAGAAAAAATCTTCTCTATCTTTTCGTATTAGTTTATGGTACAGTTGTTGCATGCAGTCTGGTACGTCATCATTTGGCAGTTGGGACTAATCGTATGATTCCTTGGCATCCTTCAAGATTTCGAGCCACAACGCACCAAGGTGCCTTCTACCTTCGAATCCAAATAGGCCTGCATTGGGGTGCGCTAAATACCGGAGAATGCACCAGCATGGGTGTTTCGGCATTTCAAGCAGATGATGAACACTTAACATGCAATTGAGTGAAGATAACAACTACAAACACCACATTAATTCATATTCACCTTGTCAACCTCTCTTTATAACGGTTGCAAGGTAGGAAAACGAATGGGAAAAGCTCGTTGAGTAAGGATAACAATCTTGATTAATACCTTAATGCATGTACGACTTCCTATGACTGGTGAGTCCCACTCATAACAGCACGGCTCTGAGGATGGCGAAATCGCCGAAACGTCAGCCATCGACCAACAACACCAACAGCAACGACAACAACAACTACAACGACAACGAAGACCTATACCATCGCCGCAACAGCTTAAGAAGTTCCCAAAATCGACTTTCTATTAACCTCAGCATTGGATTATAAACCTGTTGTTCTCTTTTTTACAGCAATCGCGAGGTTGTTAAACAGCATACATTCACTTATATAGAAAAACAGTACAATACAACAGTAGCTGACGTTTCGGCAGCATCGCCTTCTTCAGAGCCGCTTTTTTCATGGCTTCTTCAGAGCAAAGCGGCTCAGAAGAAGGCGATACTGCCGAAACGTCAACTACTGTTGTATTGTACTGTTTTTCTATATAAGTGAATGTATGCTGTTTAATAACCTCGGGATTGCTGAACGAGAAAACGACGCATTCATATTCCAATGCCGAAGTAGGAAGTCGATCCCGGCAAACCTTATACTCTTCAATCAGTTCTGAAAATGGTCCCAAGAATTACTGGGTAAGCAAAATGAAGTGAATGCCAACATAATGCAATTGCCTCAAGTAATTTGAATTGCTAGAAGGATCACCAACAATGTCGATTAGAACGAATTTAAACTTTACTGCCACATGTTAACTTTCCATTTGCTGTATTTTGTGAAATATAACCACAATGTCGATTAAAACGAATTTAAACTTTACTGCCACATGTTAACTTTTCATTTGCTGTATTTTGTGAAATATAACCACAATGATGCTGAGATATTTGCAAAATTCCGCACCGCAGGTGTCCGCGGTCGGGAACGACCGGATCAAATCCGTTGCTGATGGTACTGGTACGTAGAAAAACCATCCGAGAGAAAGGCGAAGCGAAGGACCTGTATGGTGTGGTTTCCCACCGCGGACACTTGCTGTCCGGAGTTTTGCAAATATCTTAGCATCATAATGGTTGTACTTCACAAAATACCCTGCCATGAAAAACTGTAATAGAATAAAAAGTTAGCATTGCGATTTCAACTACAGCTTAAGGTTAACTGTGTTCGATACCGATTTGTGGTCTCCAAATCAATCATGTTGACGGGTGACTACTGATGGCACTGGTAGATAGAAACACTAGCTGAGACAGGCAAAACGAAGGATCGTGTAGTGTGGTGGTGGACGTGTTAGCTTCCGAAAGCGGTAACAGCGCGTTCGTTCCCCAGCGCGGACACCTACGACCCGCAGTTTTGCAAATATTTCAGCATCATTATGGTTTTTCTGCTATATTTAAACTCTCTTGTTGTAGACATCAAAACCCAAATTGCCAGGTCGAACGGCTTTGGACAATCGGGTCGGTTCAATGCGGCTCCGAAGAAAGCGATGACCCCGAAGCTCTAGCCGAATAAAACTGTTTACCATCCTCGTGTTAGCTTAATAATCTCAGAAGGCATTGATTTTTTTGAAATGTAACAAACCATTCAACAATTTAATGCATACAACAGCAAAGCATAATATCAGATCACATAAATGAGAAACAACCAACTCCCTATTGCACAGTACTGTTATCAAATTATTGCAAGCCTTTCAAACAAGGCGTCGCTTTATTTAATCGCTATCATCAGCACTGGAGAAGTCAAACGGTTTGAATCGAGATTGCAGATTTTTCGCTAACTTCGATTCTTCCTCTTTGGTTAGTACACATGACCTCCAGTCAACTTTCCCCTCACAATCCAGTATTGGACGGCTCGCTAAAACCTAAAAAGCACGGTTTTTCATGAGAAATATAATGAGACTTATTTCAAAGCGTAACGGTTGAACTTATAACAACGACGAGGTAGTGACAGTGATAGTAACATGGGATATGGTAATTTCAGCCTCCGTTGTTTTCCTCACAATGAAGACGTTTTTTTTAAAAGAAGCTCCATTATTCAGAGGGACTATAGTTAAGAAGAGTCATTTTAAAGCTCCAGACTAGCACTTTATCACAAAACGTGATGTTATTTTTTCAAGGCGTAAGATTACTTTCTCGGCCAGATTTGATAGTAGAAGTTAAAGAACAGATCGCCACACAGATGGTTCCTCAGCCGGCTAACAGGAAGGTTATATGATGTGACATCACTTAGAAACGGTAGGGGACTAGACGTAGGCGGGACTTAGTAAATGAACTCCCTATTTCTGCTGTGCATCACTAACATATCACTTCTGTAGAAACGCAGACATATTCGCAAAAACATGCATGTGCGCATACGCATACACTGCCAGTGGCCTGCACTAGAATCACTATAATCCCAAAAAAAAAAACAATAAAAATTATTGGTCACATTTCCCTTACCCTGAAAAAGTAGCAGCTATGATAACGCTGATTAGGATAAGTATACAAAGACAGCCAAATCATACCGTTATGTGTTTAAATGAAGCTGTTTCTTATGCGAATACAAATGTATTTGTTAAATTTTATCTGCTAGGGTTATGAAAGTGTTTGGCTGGGTAGATCGCATCTCACTTCGACCTTTGCAGGCTCTGAAGAAGGCGAAACCGCCGAAACGTCAGCTCCTGTATCCTAATAAATTCTATAATAACAACCACGTGTCTGCTTATTGAAGAAAATATCGAATTATACCATTGTGGGTCATCATCCAAAGCTGGAATGGCAACAGTGAAGACATATGCTTAGAATATTTGCATACTAGCACCAGAATTTTCCACTGAGGATCTGATAGCAGGATAAGAAGATCATGAACAAAGTCGTGGACTAGCCCAGTTGAAAAGTTGCTGCCATGTCTCATTACAAGACCACACACACGATGAAGAAACTGAGTGGAGTACCGCGAGAGTGAAAAATGTATCTTTGCCTCATTTTTACCGACTTGCGCAAAGTAATTGCGTCGGCTTAGTCAGAAATGGTCGTGAAAGACCAAACAATCAGAGATTCTCTACTCCGTACACAAAGAACTTCCATGAAATACGCAGCTTCATAACCGGTACTCCACCACTCTACCGCAGCATTATTATACATACACAGAAACTGTTTAACATCGTCATCGCACCATAATGGTGGTTTTTACAGCCATTCTTGTCATGTGAAGAGTGAAATGGAATAATAATAGAGCGAAAGTGAATGGCCTGAACTTCGATCGTCTTCCCTTTCCCTATGATACCACTCTTATAACACTAAGGGCTAACTAAGAGAAACGAATGGTGACTGATTTCGAAAGGGTTTTGGAAAAACTGGTTTTTAGGTGAATATCAACAAAACCATATTGGTGAGAAATGGATTATTTCTGGTGCATGAATCACGCTCATCGGAATTAATGTCCAAGTCGTGATTAAAAAACCAAAACTGTAGCAGTATGTTTTCAAGTCTAGAAGTCCGCATGATCCCATCAGCCTCGAGAACTAAGCAAGATGAATCGAAAGAATTAAAGAATAACATATGATATTATAAACAAGATTACAAGCACGTGGTGAAGAGGAACAACAGGTTCTGCCCACAGCTTCTCGTCTGTGAGACTGCCCATAACAGTTTGTGTTAAAAGATTATGATACAAAAGAAAAATAACAAAAAATTCATCACTACTAAACTATTCGCTTGTCAACAGTTGAAATATGCTGACTTAATGTTTTATGCGGCTACTATCCTCCAACTCTATGAATCGCATATGATTCACATGCTTGCAGCTAAGTTAAATATAAGTTTCAGCACAAGAAAAGTGCTGTAAGTAGATGCTTAATGATAGGTGCCCAACGAATCGCCCCGAAAACGTGCTTTGATAACTAGTTGCAAACTTTAATAAATTTGGCCTATCTCTTTAATGGTTCTTCATATTTATGGTAAAAGGATTCGATCACAAACTTACGAGGCCCTTTTTTGCGGAAGGGCCATATTTGACTGGATTTAACAAGGAAAACACAAAAGGTTGGTTTCACAAATGACCGTTTTGGTGCTGTATGAGTACAGCTGCCTTTCATCTGTCCGTAGTTGACAAACTGGTACCAGATTACTTGTGAGAATAAAAATATTGATTTGATACATTAGCAGACTATTTCAAGTCACTGTATAGGTCAAATATGCATTCTGCCATGGAAGCCTTGGTGAGTCTGAAAGGCGGGATCGAGCCAGCGACCACGTGTATTGCAGGCTGGAGGCGCAATCAAAAAAGGGTAGGGAATTAGAACAGAAAATTACCTCTCTGGCAAACTGCAGAGGAAAATTCTTCATTTGCCGAGTAAACAGTCTGGAACCGTCTGGCATTTCGACGAAGAAGTATGGACAGCCCTCATTGACGAGATCTGCCAACTGCAAGCAAAAGCACTAAGATTAATGAATCACTGCACGTAGCACACTTCATGAGCAATTCATTTCGACAATGCATGAAGCGATTCGCAAGACCGACTTTCTGTTAACCTCGGCATTAATTGATAATTCAATGTTTTTCATCAATAAGCAGACACGAGGTTGTTAACAACCTCGTGTCTGCTTATTGATGAAAAACATTGAATGCATGAAGCGTCAATAAATGGATATTCCTCGTGATTGGACGATACAAAGTCTATTTCCTTCCAAGAACCATACAGAGCTCAATTTGATCAAAACAGCGACAATGTCGATGTACGACCAATATGACTCATATTGCTTGGTGTTCGTGGGTGAAATGCGAAATTCAAACCCATATAGATTCCTGTATAGATTCAAATTTTATTGTATATTTTACTTCATATAGATTCAAATCCTGTAGATTTTGAAACTTATTCTGCAAAGTGTAATAATAACCCCCTCCCAACGGTTTACCACCCCATCCTGGCTGGGATGTGTTCCTGAATGCCGGGCTACGACGTATAACGTGTGAATTCACATCCCCTCACAGCTTCCCAGGATAAGTCCGACGCTTCCATCAAGAAGCCCAGCTAGAAGTAAACCAATAGCAGTACTATGATCCACTACCGTCCTGGTATCAAACTAGTGGCATGGTGGCAAATCTCCCTCTGATCCACAAGAGCGGCAATTGCCTGTGTTGTGACAACCTGAGGCAGATTTTGGCCAGGATGATCTCGGGACTCCAGGGAACTACAATGGTTAAACCAGAAAACTTCAAAAAAAAAAAAAGCAAATTATACTGCGGGCCACATTACCCGTGAAAACGGGCCATACAAGTATCCAAGTAAGTAATAATAACACCCGTACTCACTGGTTCTCAACTTTAGAAGGAATACGAGAGAACATTTTTCAATTAATACGCTCCCTTATTCAATTCTACATATTGGCTCCATGATAATTGCTTATTGAGGTATATGACCACTTCAACTAGACTTCATGTATCTAGATTTCATTTTCATTTCTTCTTTTTCTCAACATTGAAAATTCTTCTACCTTATCACTTTCATCCATCGTGATCAACTCTATTCCAGCAAGACTCGCAGTATTAAAAAACGCTCCATTTAAGGCCTTCACAGCAGATTTCGGAATAGGAACCATTTGTACTTGCATATGTTGCGTACGGTAATTCCGCTCAAAGCATACTAACGACTTACCCGCCTAAATTAATGTAAGTTGCACTCTATGAGACTATTTCTTCTAGGCAAGCATAATTTGATAGTATTAAATAGAAGCAAGAAGCAATTAAGAACAAGAGTAATGAGCAAATACTGGGGTGAATAAATTTAAACAAGAGATACGGCTACAAAATACGATATTACGATAATTTCTACAAAACCTTGCAACGAATCGTAAGAAAAAGCAATCTGCTTTTATATCCACAACTAAATTATAAAGCATGGTAATTAGGAACGATAATCGCTAAGAGAAAAATATGAAGAAATAGTCGAGTACTGAAAAAAGAAATCATCTTAACTTAACCTTATCAGCTACCAGAGTGAACGCATTCTTGAATTTCTCCACTTCCTTTCGGACTTCATCGCTAGCAGCCACCAATGACTGGATGTGCTCTTCAAGTAAACACTAAGCTTTGTATAGCACGATCTTACTGATCACTGGTTGTATTATCAGTCTAAATATCATAGCCCACCATTACTAACGGGTAGTCATGAAATTGAACGAAATATGATAATTTGGCCAGAAAGTTAACAGTCAAAGTAGAATTTGTACGTTTCTTTATATGACAAAAAGAATATGACAAGGCAGCAAACCTATGCTAAGTATCATCACGTGATCGTCTACAAGAGGACCCTTGGGCATTGCAGCGTAGCACACGTCGCCCACACTAACGACCAAGTGCTTCTCGACGTCCACATTTGATAAACAAAACCAGCAAGGCGCAGCTGGAACCTTCTCGCCAGACGTATAATCTACAAGTTTCATTCAATTCTCAACAGAGCTTCTGCACTTCTCCTTTCCCACTGACCACTCTTTCGGCGTTTTTTACCACCTCTGTCAACGTTGTCCTCCACTTCTACCGACATATCAAATCGATATCGATCTACATTATCGTGACTTTTACTTGTTAGAAGTTTATCCCTTAAAAAATAATTATTGTACATCACACAGTCCCAAATATTCAACAAGCAAAAGAGACGGCGCAGGTTACTGCAGAAAGGATACCTGGCGAGAAATTCCTGTAATATATCCATATAGGGAAATTCAGACGAGTTAGGCGGCTGCTTACTGAGTTCGTCTCTATTCATTTTCCGCATTGGCTGCAAGTTAGATGTCAAAGAATATCACACAGTGAAATATATTCACGCAGAGATAGAAAAGCAACATTTGGAAATAAACACGTTGAATTCCTTGGGTTGTACAATTAACCAATTCGATGTCCTGGCAAACTAACCCGCGAAATCGCAATGTTTATCCTACCTTTATAAAACTTGATGTCTACTTTAAATAAAGTTTTAAGTATTTCTGCTTACATTGTAAAATCAAAGGCTCTGCTATATTGTTACTGTTCAGGAAGAGCAACCTCTACGATGTCGACAACAATGGCCTAATCTGCCCACTGTCTATCACCCATAAACTCGAATCATTCTAAATAGAGCAGAACACTGACAAAACACTGGAAGGAGTGCAATGTGAGCAAGCAGTCTTCCAAAAAGAATTTAGAATGATGGACCAGGCCGACACGACAGCAAGTCTCATTGAAGTATCGCGAGAGTACGAGAAACCGCTCTGTCCCACTTTCATAGATTTTAAAAAATCACAGTGTATAAACTTTTATCTACTGCCTATTACTTTTTTACTGCAGAGTATAATGTGAAATCTAACCATAATGGTGCCGAGATATTTGCAAAATTTGGACTCCAGGCCAGATTCCAACCTTCAATTACCTTTTCCGGAGCCTCATGTGTTACAAACTGCACTATTGAGGCTACGTTCTGCCTTTCTTTCAGCCAGTTTTTAACACTAATGGTTCCGTCAGCGACTTCATATGATACCCTACTATGAACAAAGAATAATAAGCAGTGAAACTTATACATTGTAATTCCGACTGCAACCTCAGCTTAACTAGATTCACTACCGATTTGTGCTCCTCCGATCATTCCCGCTGAAGCTTGATTGCCTGATGGCACCTTTAGGTTAAAAAACTAGCCGAGTATACGGATTTCTCTATCAAATAGAGGATTCTCTATCTACCCAACAAACACATTTTTTAAGTCGATATAGACTGCGTTTGCCACAACGCCCGCGCACGTGCCCTGCATTCACATCCCACCTCAACCACAGGGCACGCCACGAGACACGGCATCTCGTAGCCGTCAGGCACACCACCAGGCATGCTATTGGGCGCGCCTCATTGATTGGCTGCTAGACACCGAGACCCTAGCCTTGACCCTGCGACCAACGCTACTCACTTCGATGTAGCCACTAGCACCGTTGTTTGGCTTCTGATGACGCCTTGGAGTCCGCCGTTGCCTTTCCTCATCACTATTTGCTCTCCCACACAATCACAATCCTTTTATTCACAGCTCCTTCGATCCACCTAGGTACAAATGATGTTAACTAAAATCTGTAGCTCTTGCATTTCCAATACATCAGTGTTGTCATCATCTCTTGCAATTAATGCATGTTGTTAACATAACAGTTTTGGTAAATACTTTCATTGCTCAGAGGTGCTCTGCCAAAAAATCCTCATTCATATTACTAAAGCACTCTCGCTATCACTATTCACACTCTTGCATTGTAAGCATGTAAATCTTAACTCTCTTATAAGCGTAGCAATATTTTTACAATCAGTATTAGCTAATCGCTCGTATCCTCATAAACCTGTTGCATAATGCTCCAAATCCATCATATTATATACAAAAACCCACTGAACCACCTCGTTTGTAATTCATTGTAGACACATTCTTAGTCTCGCTGCGTTATTGTGTAAATGATATGTGCACATATACAAAAGTTTAACTACCCAAGTTCGAGATTCTGCGGCATACATGGCTACACGAACATAAAGTTTCCGCGTGGCAAGCCTAAGAAAGTCGAGCACTCCATCAATAATTAATGGACAGAGGACAACCCGACAGAGTACTACTCTACTACTATATATTCCATTGGACCAATCAAGACATTGAGCGAGAGAGGGACAGAACAGTGGCAACAGTGATGCAATGGGTAACCTGTGAGACCCGGCAAGAGTTATCACGTGATCATATCTGATCGTGGGTCCAAATTTTGCAAAATTTCAGCACCATTGTGACTTAAACAAGTTTTTCGGTCAGTTCAGATAGAAAGAGCTAGGCCGTCCCTATTCAGTTTACAAAGATTCGTCATGAGCAATATGAAAACGTCACAACCAACATATTACCATTATGCAAGGATATCGATATCGACATCAAAAAAAGATAAATCAGGGCGATTTCATCTCGCCAAAATTATTGACCGCCACTGTCGAGAACGTCATATGAATTTTGGAATAGGACAACACGGGAGTGAAAATTGACGGCCGGCACTTACACAAACTTCGCTTTGATGATGACGGCGTTCTTATAAAACCAAGCATTAGGCAGGCAGAACGAATGCTTTCCAACTTTGTTAAAGCCTGTGGAGAAATCGGTCTTCGATTAAACCTCACAAAAATGATGTTCATGAGGAACGAATTGGTTTTGCATGTCCCATTCAGGCACAACGGAATGAATATCTCCGATGCTCCAGTTATGTCTATCTAGGATCAACATGATGAATGACTTAGCTTCAGAGTTGAGCAGGAGGAAGAGGACGGCTTGGGGAACTTTCAAGAACATCGAGCATACAGTGAAGAAAACAAAGAATACCCGACTTCATCCCTACCTTTCTGACTCCACGATTCCCACTTGCCTTGAAGTATGCGTCAAAAATCTGGTCGCCACGAAATCAGGGTGAAAGATCACCTAGCGTTATAGAAAGCGTAGTTGAAACTGGACGAAAAAGGACGATGCGAGGACTTCTCTGCATTACACAGATGAGAACGGGAATCCAAAGCTCCGACCTACGTCAACAATCAAAAAACAAGGAGAAAGTTCTGTACGCCATATTGTAGATCATATGGTGGACCGCACACGTACTGTGTATGAACGACAACCGATGGACAAGGGCAGTTAGAGATTAGATTCCCCGGGAAGTTAAATGTACAGCAAGAAGACTACCGAACCAATAGTCAGACTTCTTCATGGGAACCCTAGAAAAAAGGTATGATGCTCAAATCGAGTCCCAAAAACGAACAAAATCCACTGGACTATTCTTGCAAGTGGCGAAGAGAAACGTGAGACCTACTTGCCCCGAATCCAGTCATTCGATGATCAACGAGGTGACGGGTGGTAATGGTGGTCCTTGCAATTTGAAGGATGTTTACAGTAAAGTTGTTACAATTTCTTGAGCAACAGAAACATCAACGATATGTTGGAAATACAATCGGTCCTGTTAGACTAAATCCGGTTTAAGAAATTGCATCCATGTTCCAAATGCGAGCTTTGATGTAAGACAGTGAAAGAGATATTTCACAGGTTACAGAAGATCAGAATTATATCCTGGTAGAAGAATAATTTCTTTCTCGCACGGAAAACATCTGCAAGCTTTAATGCCTTTCTTTTCAACCAATAAAATTTAATGCGAGCTCAGAAATGCCAGTTTGAAATTTAAAGCGATCGCTAATTCGCACTAAATGCATCGTATTAAACGCATGTCGAATTTAATTACTTTTTATCTACTACCTATTCTTTTTTCACCGCAGGGTATGAAGTGAAATGCAATCACAACGATGCAGAGATATTTGCAAAACTCCGGACCGTAGGTGTCCATGTCGGAGATCGAACCTCGTTATTACCTTTGCGGTCCGAAGTTTTGCAAATATCTCAGCAAGTATGCTAACTGCATGTCGAATGTTACGCGTTAACAAAATCCATAACCAACAACCTTTGGAGATTCGGCCGTCTTGGAAACCCGTACTACAGCAAATCTCATAACAACATGCCTACCTGAACATTGAAGGCGTATAGCCATTTTTGCTTTTCACCAAATGGAGCCAGTCCAATGAATCGTGTTGTATGTTGTGCAGGCTCCAAAAGAACACGATGATTCCTGAATACACATGAAGTAAAATAACTTGTAGTGCACGAAAGGATTTTAGCGAATGTTTTTTTTCCATTCAGAGAAAAAAACTATTTAGAAAGAATATTTTTCAAACCGACCGTCATTTAACCTCGCAATGAATGATCAATGTGCGTTATTTTATTGATAAGCTAACGCGAGGTTCTCACCCGACAATTATTCGGCTAACGTTTCGACATATTCGTCTCCTTCAGAGCCGATGATCCGAGTCGATGGTTCACAATTGTTCATCTTCTCGATATGGTGTCTTTGCCGTCGTACAACCTCGAATATGGTTGTTGCTTATAATGACTGTCCGCTGATAAAAATTTTTTTATAAAACAGCGCTGTTGCTTGGTTGCATCATTTCAACGGTGCTCCACTGAAGGAGATTCGACTCGATACGATGATGAAGACACCATTTCGAGAGGACGAACATTTACGTAGCACCGATTGGGTTCATCGTCCCTGAGAAAGACTAAGAGGTGGACACGTTAGCCGAATAAATGTTTGGTAAGAACTTTGTGCTGGCTTATCAATAAAGTAATATACTATTTGCAAAGATTACAAGTTCTGCACAGGTTTTCTTTTGTATGAAAAAAAAACAGTGAAAAATGGAGTCGAGAGTTGCGAAAAGGAAAAAGATGGACTGGAGATTAGGCTAAATACGACCTCTACTAGCTACCTGTAGGGCTGTCGTTCGTAATGAATAGCCATACCAGCAAAGTGATAACGAGGTTTTAAGCCAGCTGCTAATCGGGATATCAAACGGGAACCTTCTACTTCGCGTGAAGGAGTATTATGAGCATGTTTCCATACCTGAAAGAAACCAGCACTCCATTTATTTACCATTATGAAATCAATGAAAAACAATGAAGAACCTCAGCTGGCCACATTGATGTTACTAATATGTCGACACCCAGGAATCCTGACTGGGTTTTCACCGGAATCAGCATTTCCTAAGGTATTCTCAAAAGATTAGAATACTATTTAGTTTGTGTCCTGATTGCCACTGTCAGACAACTAACCAATCAACACATTTTTAACAGGTCTTTGAATAATACCTCGATATCATCTTCGTTAAATTGGAATACGTTGGATGATGACCCTTCAATGCCGCTAAGATATGCAATTTTCAGACCTGTAAAAAAGCAATAACCCAGCATGAATAAATTATAAGCAAATAAAACACGAGCAAACAGTTTCTCACCACTGGCAGAGTTCAGGATTCCACGTTTTCCCAAATAAGTGGCACTCGATGAAAACTCAACCGAATCTTTTGGATAGAATTCAGATGTTGACGGCGAACATGGACCTTCAAAGCTATAATATTCGAAATCCACACCACCGACTTTCTATTAATCTAGGCACTGATCGAAGAATTCTTTATATTCTTAATAACACGAGGTGTTATTTTACTTCTTTACTTACGAGGAAGTTGACGTTTCAGCGGATATCGCCTTCCTCAAAGTCTGGAAATTTCAAGCTGACCGTAATCTGCTCAGCCATTAACCCACTGCTTATGGAGGTGTTTGGCTGGGTAGATTGCCGTCGACTTCGTCTTTCAAGGCTCTGATGAAGGCGAAATCCGCCGAAACGTCAGGTCGTTCGTAAAGAAAGGAATAAAGTAACACCCCATGCTTGCTCAACAAGAATAAAAATAATTATATGGCTAGAATTACAAATTAAGAAGGGAAAGGATAAAAAGATGAACACAACAACCCTTTAGGCAGAATCATGCCCTTTCACTCTACACAGTTAATAACTTGTAGATTTATACCAATCTAAATAGGCATATTTCCACTATTTCGTTACTTTCCCACATCTATGTATCGTTTAAAATTCAAGGTATCCATTTCTCTAATGCTGCGAACTAGATGTAATAATGTAAGCTGCAATCTAAATTTCTTGCCGGTGAAGAGTGAGGAAGGATATCACGGCTGATAAACCCCCGCAACTGACAGAAAATTACTCTTCATCCCATATGGTTAACGCTGGAAATCACGCTTTGTTGCCAATGAGTTGGTACCGGATACCGAAGTCACAAGCATTCCCATTAAAGAGGACTTTGAGACAAAGGGGTAGATGTAGCACGCAATACAGCCATAGTAATTGCTTCGACACCGTCCGGATCAACAAGACTTATCATTTGTCCAGCAATTATCGGAAAACTGGTACCATACATGTACAACAAAATCTTTCTTCGAACTCCAAAAACCAGTTACTGTCTGTGGTGAAGACCCAAGAAAATCCTAGCAGAGCTATCCGAGGAACGACATCTTTGATTTTTGATCGTTGACGCAGGTCGGAGCTTCGGATCATCCATTACTTGTGCGAAACGGGAAACTCCTTGCATCATCCTTTCGACTGCGCGTTCAAGAACGCTGAGTGACCCTTCATCCTGCTTACGCAGCGATCAGGTTTCTGACGCATACGTTACGGCACGAAGTACCGTTGAGTCGAAAATGTGGGTGCGGAGTCGAGTGTTCTTTCTTCTCTTCACTACATCCTCGATGATGTTGAAAGCTCTCAAAGCCGTTCGTTTCTTTCTGCTCAGCTCAGGAGCTAAGTCGTCGTTCATCAAATTTGGAAACGTTAGTCCCTTTGAGCATGAATAGGGCAAACGGAACCAATCTGTTCCTCATGAACATCGTTTCCGTGAGATTTAATCTCAGACCAATCTTTCCACAGGCTTTATCAAAGTCGGCAAGCAAATGTTCGGCTTGGTTAATGTTTGGTGTTACAAGGACGATGTCACCAACAAAGCGAAGATGATATAACTGCCGACCATCGAATTTCACTCCCATATTATCCCATTCCAATGTTCGCATGACGTTCTGGAAGGTGGTGATAAATAATTTTGGCGAGATGGTATCGCCTTGTCTAACCCCTCTTTTGACATTAATGTTAATATCGTTGTAGAATGGTGATATCTTGGTTGTGAAATTTTTGCACAGCTCACGAAGAATCATTATTTGCTGAATAGGAACTCCTTGATTATCAAGGGCTTCCATAACTGCTTCTATTTCAACTGAATCAAAGGCCTTTTGTAAATCGACGAAAGTGAGACAGAGCGGTCCTTTGTACTCTCGCGACACCTCAATGAGCCTTGTTATCGTGCAGATGTGGTCCATCGTACTAAATCCTTCTCGAAACCCTGGTTGGTCATAGGGCTGTCCTTCGTCCAGTGTTCTGTCAAATCTGTTAAAGGATGACTCGTGTGAAAAGTTTGTAGGCGACAGACAGCAAGCCCAGAGTGTTTTACGAGGACTGGAGGAAGGTTCCTCAGGTGTTCTGACCTTATCCTGTCCGGACCTGGTGATGTTCGATTTTCCACCGACGAAATAGCATGTCGGATTTCGGAAGGGAGTACCGGCGGTACAACATATCCATACTCCTTTATTACACATCTTCTCTCTCTTGGTGACTTTTGAACTCTGAGCTTTCATAGCGCTAGCGTGAAGGCGTTGAATGAGCCGATCGTATTCTTCATCGATGTTATCGACAACGGCATCTTTCCAACAGCCGACTAATGAATTGAATAAATCCCAGTTTACGGTGGTTCTGGGACTTTGGTTTTGGAATTTAGCGGCTTTTTCTCCTTTCCGCGAGAAATAGAACCTTGCACGAAGGAGACGAAGTTCTGATCCCGTGTAGAATTTTGGGACAACAGCGACACCGGTTAGGCAAAACTTATTTACCATGATGTGGTTCATTTCGTTAAGGCACCCACCCTTGGGAGACTCCCATGTCCAGTGTTGAGGGTAGGTCTTTTGGAATTGGGAGTTACCGTGGATGATCTTGGTCGCCATGATAAACTCAGACAGCCGTTCACCCTGTTCGTTCCATTCTAATCAGTGGGTTCCAATGCGACGTTTTTCTGACGTTCTTCTTGGTCCAATCTTGGCGTTGAAATCTCCAATGATGACCATGAAGAATGTATGGTCTTCTTTGTAGGACTTCTCTAAGTCCATATAGAACGCTTCGACTTCTTCTGCGTTATAGTTAGTTTGATGTCGGCGTGTAAACGACGAAGACTGTTAAAGCCGGAATTGATCCACGTCTTTTTAATCGTAAACGTCCGATTCGGGTTATAAGTTGCTCGAATGAATAGATGTTCATGGAGAAACGCGTGCTGACGAGAACGCCGATGCCGCCGACTCCTTTACTGTCGCATGTTCCGAGGAACAGCTCTCCTCCATTGTCAACGACGGCGTTGAATGGGTGACGTCGTCTCGTCTTGGCCAGGCCGATAACGTCGCACCTTATCCTTCTTGCTTGCATGAACAAGTCTTCTACCGAGGACTCGGATGCAAATGTACGTGCATTGTAGGAAGATAGGAAGAGATCGTTATCATTGAACCATTATTCTAGCATTTATACTCAATACATATCGAGCGTAGCCTGTCACTAGCAAACCAAAAGGAGTCGATTCAGCAGCATACTTCATACTTTATACTTGAACGACCCGTCATCACTAATTGTGCGGGCCCCAGCACAATCACCATTTAACTAAGATTTACTGGTTGAGCCACTGTGCTTCCTTGGAATCCAGAGGAGAGTCTGGCCAAAGTTTGCCCCAAGTCGTCACCACGACCGGCAGTCGCAGCCCTTGTGGATCAGGGGGAGATTTACCATCATGCGACTTTGATACCAAGACGGTGGTGGATCCTGTTATTGGTTTACTCTTAGCTAGGTTTCCCGATGGAAACCTGACTCCTCTTCAGCTCGGGAGACTCTACCGCGGAGACGAATCCCCCTGCTGTAGATCGCAGTCCGACACCCAGGAACACCTCCCAGCCACGATGAGGCGGTAAACCGTTGGGAGATTCAGCGCCATAGGTTACGCAAACTCATAAGCAGTAGTCAACGACGAGTTTCAGTACGAGACTGTATCTCATTAGACTAATGTATTAGACATCACTAACATATGCACTCTTTCTACTCCTACGTGGTAACCATGTCACTAGGAAGTAGTCAAAAAAGTTTTTCACGACTGCATCAAATGCTGATACACGATTGTCTACGTAGATAAAAAGCGTAGGCTTTCAGAACCAGTGTATTGACTAGAACGGTTTCCACTCCTGCGACAAAGTTCGATATAAGAAAAAATTTTTTTAAGAACTTAAACTTTCCATCCAAAATCGGACCCGTCAAGCTAAATAATATATGGTCAACTTTTTATTTACTGCCTACCACAATATATGGTTATTTGTTACTGTTAAAGAAGGCTTCTTCTACTGTTATAGATGGTACTTCATTGCTATAGCAGCTTTAAATCAAAAATAAACGCACCCAACACGTACGTCGGCACTACGAAATTCACATCGCCATTCAAAAAGCGTTCGTTGGCCTTAATATCGGGTCCGAAAAACTCACCGACGCACAGAAGGAGATCAAAAGGACCATTCTGAAACAGTCTGAAGACAACAAGAGCAGATGAAAAACAATAACTCAGAAAAACCGCAGTTAAAAACCTTCTCATTGATAACCGCCAGCTTTTTAGCGAACGGTTCGAACTGCCCACGAAGATCTCCGATGCATAAAACACGAACTTGATCTCTGGACATAACCTAAGCACATTTTAAGGACAAAAATAAAGAATTTTAGCCAACATTCTAACTAAAGCAATAAAAATGCATACATTTAAAACGAAAAATTCGTTTTGAACTAAAAACAAGACCAAAGATCGCGTCATTTACTTACACAAGTTTAACGGAAGAAAACTTCGATCTCTAAAAGAGAACATCATAACATTACGATGGTATATGGACATTAAAGACAAAAGACAGATCTCAACCTAAATGGAGCAAGTGGAAGAAGAAAGTTACTTTGAATGCATGTGATGGTCACCGAAGAAGAAACTACTCATTGATTCATAGGAGCAACAATTCGAACGTCGACAAAACATGAGGTTTACAGAGCACAACAAACATCACCCTTCATCTATGGAGTCATGTGCTTCTCGATCTCCTCCAGGACAATCCATAATGAGCTCGTCGTAGTCCTTGAACTGACATCCGCACCATATACAGTAATGATAAGTCGTACGAAGATAAAATGTTATTTCGTTAAGTCTAAAGAAATAATTGAACAAACTTCTTAGGGAGTAAGCAGGTCACCTGCTGTCTCTAGAATATACAGTTCCAGAACTGATTAAGATTTCTACAAGACAAGCACCACAGTGACCACAGTGGAAGTAAAACATGTAACTACTACAATGATTCTGATATATTTGCAAAAACTCTGGACTACAGGTGTCCGCGGGAGGGAACGAACGCGTTCCTCTCCTTTTCGGGGCTAGCGCGTTCACCACCACACCATTCGGGTCCTTCCTTTCACACTTCTCTCAGTTAGTTTTCTATCTACCACACCCATCACCAAATATGCGTTCATGGAATTGATCTGGGAAGCCCATATCAACAATGAACCCAAATAAGCTGAGGCTGTAGTCAAAACCACAATGTTAACCTTTTATTTACTGCCAATTACACTTTTCCACTGCAGAGCATTATGTGTGATACACACAGTATGTGGTATTGTATCACAGATAATACCCTGCCATGAAGAATTGTAATAAGCAGTAGATAAAAAGTTGGTTTTGTCATTTAACTACTGTTAAAAAATAGAAGAGAACTAGCTTGCTATGTATAAGTAGTTCTTCGCAAACCTTTCACGCAGTGTCTCATCGGAAAGCTCATCGTATCGCTCTTCTTCAGGCGCTTCCTTTCCATTTACATAGTAAAACCTTAATGTGGAGAATCAACAGTAAAACTATTTCATAATCATGCTTGTAGAAAAAGTAAGCTTAATGGATTCATAAAATCTACAAGCACTCAATATCCTCAGACAAAACATTCTCTCGTTCACTAGTTCACTTTCTCACAAAAGATCAAGAATACATTAGCAAACAACTTTAGATTGTCCACTGATTCAAGACAAGCACCTACAAAAGACCGTAGTGAAATGAATTCAATAAAATTAAAAAAAATACTTCACATCTTCGTTGATATCGTGTACCCCACAACCATGATCGCCTGACAAATCATCTGTCTCCTTCCGCTGTTGATAACTCTTCCAAAACCATGGCTGCGCAGGCTCGCAATTATTCTCCCTTCAATAAACACTTATAGAAATGCCACCCCTAACATTTATACCAAATGCGCCGAAATCAAACAATGAACTGGTAAAAACTACAAAGGATAAAGCCCTAGAGGTTGATCAATCCCTTTGGGATACCCCATCCATTCTATTTTAGCAAGCTTCGTAGAGGTGGTTAAACGCATAACATGCGAGCATACTGACTTGCGTTGGCCTACTGATATACAAAGCCAGTTTATATTCCCATAGTACTTCGATGCTATCCCGATAATCTTGGCGGGTTGTGAGCTTGGTTAGCGCAAAACACCGGATCGAACCAATAACCTAGTATGTATTTCAGACATGGTGGTTCCCCCCCCCCCCAGCGGTTTACCGCCTCATCGCGACAAGGAGGTATTCTTGGGTGTCGGACTGCGATGTACAGCGACGGAATCATCTCTAGCAGGGTCTTCAAAGCTGAGGAGTCCGGTGTTTCTATCAGGAAGCCTAGCTAACAGTAAACCAATACCAGGATCCACCACCGTCTTGGTATCAAAGTCGCATGGTGGTAAATCTCCCTCTGATCCACAAGGACTGCGACTGTCAGTCGTGGTGACGACTTGGGGCAAACTTTGGCCAGGCTAACCTCAGGATTCCAAGGAACCACAATGGCTTAACCAGCAAATCTCCGAAAAACTGAGATTGTGTTGAGGCCCGCACAATTAGCGCCCGTTCAAATATCAAGTATAAGTATAAATATTTCAGACTCCTCTGACTACAGGGCGAAGGCCGCGTGTCTCGCAGTGGTCGGAGGCACCTAGTAATACACGTGGGATCGATCCCAGCGCTCTAGGCTCACCAAGCTTTCCGTCCTTCCGGGGTCGGAAAATTGGTACCAGACTTGTCCGGTAGGCTAGATACATCGACAGACCACCGCGAGTTGTGGTAAAGGCCAGATACGCATTCGATCATCTCCACGAAGTTGAATGCATGACGCATCCCTCAGGGATTGATCAATGCCGAGTGCTTTATCCCTTTTTATCCCGACTATAGGCTATAAATTCTTCTAATAAGCTGATAAATCGGATAATTCGGTGTACCTTAAATCCAACTCGACACAAATCTTACGACTTGTCAAGATGTCACAAATCAATCCCTTTCTATTTGACAAACCCCGCTTTCGCTTCCGATAGTCATCAATTAGTTCGACCTAAAACAAAGCGAAAGCGAATATGAAGATATTAAGATCCGTTACTTCAGATCAATCGGTTGTGGTCGCTCAACGTTCACGAAATCACGTGACTATTTAGGTTAAAAAAGTGGTCAAAACCATAAATAGGCTCGAGAACCCCACTGATGACTCCACCGCAACATAAAAACTGAAAACTAACATGGTGTTCAGCCCGTCGTTTCATTCTCTCCATCTGTTGCATAATAGCGAGTTTAGCTTGCTTCTCTCGTTCGTTCTCATGACCTAATCCGGATCTGCAGGCTTTAACTTCGAGACCAATCGGTTCAGTAATGCCTAGTACAAAATCACACTTCAGTCAGTAGTATTTCAAACCACTTCTCTCATTAAGTAGAATCGTGCACCTATTATAAATATATACTGAACAAGTAGTACCATCTCGCTTCTTTCCTAAGCTCATTCCAGGTTTGTACCCCATTTTCGCAATGAGAGCGAATCCCTTAGACGTCTCAGGAACAGGTTTGTTTAGACCTTCATCACGAACGGCTTTCTCTAAAATTTTCGCATCATTGGATAAGAGAATACTCATCCATAAGACGGTAGAACTTATCAGTCTACCTAATTCATGCAACTTAGGCGGGATTTTCCTGTTTTGCTTACACTGCATCCTATGTGACTCGATCTTTAACAACCTTCTCTGGCTTGGATTACTTGTTATTCCTAGAAAAACAAAGGTTTACCATCACTAACTCATATAGTTACCTTAAAGCAGCACCCTACATGGCATTTCACTTCCACGAGTTATGGCAAGAAAATGCTTTGTAACCTGGTTTCACATCTTGTGTCATACACAAGTAGCTGTCAGACATATAATCGTCTTGATCGTCACACATTGTCATTCCTAAAGCAGTTGTGGTTCCTGAAGTTGATAAGAGAACAAAAAAGGAGCAAAACTTTGGTTAAAATCAAGCGAAAAAGTCATAAAGATTCTTGTACTAAAACACCACGAATCTATTTTTTATTTCTTTCATAAGCTTACACGAGGATGATAAATCTTCACCTACTTTATCTCATTTGGATACTTGCACGGCCCGTGTTCACTGATTGCGCGAGCCCCAGCGCAGTTTAAATCTCTTCGAAGTTTTGCTGGTTTAGCCATTGTGGCTACCTGAAGTCTTGAAGTTACCCAGACCAAACTCTAACCCGGGTCGTCACTACCCCAGGCAGTAACCGCCCTTGTGGATCGGAGGGAATTCTGCCACCATGCGACTAGTTCTATACAAGGACGGTGGTGGATCCTGGTATCGCTTTACTCTTAACTTCCTGGTGGAAACGACGGACCCTTTCTCAGCTTGAGAGACCCTGCCGGGGAATGAACTCCATGTTGCACATTGCTGTCCGACACCCAGAAACATCCACCCACGATGAGGCGATATACCATTGGGAAGATCTCCTTTATCTTTCATTCTATTCTTATTTTATATGACCCGTCTTCACTTCTACTGTGCAGTTCACCGCACTTCTCACATTCGATTCGTTTCCTCGCAACCATTGTCCACGAAGATCTTTCAACTTTACGCGTAGCTTCGGTTGCTGCTTGAGGATTTTCTCTTCATCTTGAATACTGTAGAACGCTGGACGAGAAATTCTCCTTGGAGTCCTGAGATGGTCAGCCTGGAACGTTCCCAATTGCACCGCAGAGTGATTTTCTCCCAGACAATTTCGGTACCAATTTCCCGAGCTCGGAGGGAAAAAAAGATTGGTTGGCCCGAGACGGAATCGAACTAGTACCACGCTCGTGATGACGTACATCACAACCAGTGTGGTATGCGCCACCGTCTCCTTTATCTAAATTCCTGGAATCAGAAAGCAACAGTGCTTCATCTAAAGTCACTTTAGTATAGATTTATCAACCTCGAGCAAACCTATCAAGAAAAATACATATTGATTATCCATAGTTAAGGTTACCGGAAAGCCGGTTTTGAAATATTACTACGAATTCATCCTGAAATTTGGGAACATCAATAAATATTAGAAACTGAGAAAATCGTACGAAATGCAACCTCATTATTACAAAATATAACGCGTAAAAACAATGTTCATTCTATAACAATGAAGGGCAACTATTACGAAAACTTGAAAATAAAACCTCAGTGACAACACAAAATTTGGAACCAAGAAAATTGGTGGTTCAAATAACTCGCACAGCAAAACAGAAAAAACAGGTGTAGACTACGATATGAAAACAGGAAGCAACAGCAGTGCTACATCGTAAGTCATCTTGGTAGAGATTTTGGTGAGAACTACAGGACAATCACAAAGGAACTCCTTTACTTCTCCTCAGAATTTATGCCGTCATTCTGTAAAGACTCTTATTGCGTAACATATAACACACAAACATATTTCACTTGACTAACCTCTTGTACCAATCGTTTAGCTTTTGAGCTGAAACTTTGGTCCACAATAACCTCCATGCCGCTACTGTGCTCATTATCGCTGGCTAGGATGTAATTTAACAATTATTTACCACATAGATGATAAATATGAGACCATAACACTAGTTATACTAGCCAGCTATTAATGAAAGAAGAAGTGATTCCTAAGCAATTTACAATTGTATTATATGGATTTAACATTCTTAATTGGGTCCCTTCTTTATATAAAAATACCTTCACTGAGCCAAACATCGTAGCAGAATGATCAAATCTCGAAAAATCTTGGCAATCTCAACATCGAACACGTATTTCCACTGTGATTATGGTTCATTTAGCACGTGTGATAGCACAGTAAGCAAAACTTCCATTCCACCGTTATTACTAAATTGTTGTCAGACTTGTAGCGGAGAATAGCAGCAGTGGTTCGATATATCGGTAGGTTCCCGCGAGTGATGTGTATGTAGGCCAGATATGCACCTAATGACCTCCAATAATGCTTAATGAAGATGAATAAACTTTTTTTATCATTCATTTTATTCGTTTCCTCGCATCCACCATACACAATTCACATTTAGATTATGTGGATTGTAATAGTTGGCAGGATCGACTTTCTATTAACCTCGGCATTGGAATATGAATGTGTCGTTTTCTTGTTTAGCAATCGAAAGGTTTTTAAACAGCATACATTTACTTCCATAGAAAAACACAATACGATACAACATTAGCTGACCTTACAGCAGTATCGCCTTTTTCAGAGCCTGGAAGGGTGTACTGATATACAACCTACTAGGCTAAACACTTCAATAGCACTTACAAAAAACGAAAAAACTCTATGGTAATTACATGATCAACAGCTTCTCGAGAAACTCACCGCTTTTTTCGTGCCTTCCAATGAGGAAGTTTAGAACAGCTGATTATAGTCGCATGTGGTTGACGATTGCACCATCCCACATCAAAAATCGATGCGAACATACGCGGTCGGGCCTCGTATGACCTCCAGACATTCGTCCCTGCTATTCATTGTAGGGTTTTTGGCATTTATCCAAAAAGCCTCAAGGAGTTTTCGCGCTGGTGTTTCGGACTCCTGTGCAAGGATATTGACGTTTACTTCAAAATCGTCTCCGCTATGCTTTTGTATCCTATGCGTGCCTAGTGGGGTACTTCGTCTTAGTTTTCGTTTGCTATCCAGGTGTTCTTTTATACGGATACACAAAGGTCTGCCCGTTTCGCCAATATATTCATCTCCGCAATTGTTACACGAGATCAGGTATATCGTACCTGAACTCATGCAATCACCGTCCCTGCCGTAAGGGTAAATTACGCAATTTGTTGTTTCACACAGACGGTTATACAGGCGGTTGCGAACTAATTGGCGACGTAGAGTAGCCGGTGGTATTTCAACTATCGCTACCGATTCCTCTAGACTTTCCCTTCTTAGGCATCGTTTTGTAGCTGCGCTTACTTCATCGGTTATAAAAGACAACATAAACGGGATTTTGTTTTGGCCAAGTGTTTCGCGTGGGCGCGTCGTTCTCCTTGTAAACTTACCTCGTGGGGTTACTATTTCGTAGCCATTGGAGATGGCTATTTGCGGAGCCAAGTCGCGCGATTCTTCTTTAAGTTACCTGGTTGAGCACACAGAGGTGGCTGTTCGAAACATGTTTCTCACAATCGCCCTCTTCGTGTTCGAAGGGTGGGAAGAAAGGAAATGAAAAAGAATGCTCTTGTTACTTGGCTTTCGATACCACTTTGTCAGGTAACCGCTGCTTGATAGGTTTATTTGAACGTCCAAAAACGGAAGCCAGTTATTTCTCGGTTTCTCCCGTGTGAACTTTTTGTACTCGGACTGCTCGTTCAATAATTCGAAGCATTTGTCCATCTCCTCCTGCGTAGAGAAGACGACAAAACAATCATCTACATATCTGCAGTAGAGTAGTGGCCGGAGATCGAGAACAGAGACTTCTATCTTAGACATAAACACAATGGCAAGGCTTGGTGCCAATCACTGTCCCATTGCCAGCCCCCTTATTTGCGCGAAATATTTCCCAGACCATCTGAAAATCGAGCAGTTTAGGCACTCCTTTAAGAGAGCCATTAGCTGCTGGGTGGACAAGCCATGCATATTTATTCTTCCTTTATGTTCAACAGGAAAGTTCGAAGACGGCTTGAATTGCGGAGTCATTGGACACGTTGGTGTACACTGCGGTAACGTCGAGAGACTCCATCACGTACGCGTTATGTAGACGTTCTAGGAACATTTGGGTGTTTGTGAGGTGAGCTGGAATGTGGTTAAGCAACTGGGTAAGTATCAGGTTTAAAAACCAGGTTATTCTATCCGTTGGCCCGTCTACACAACTGATGATCGGTCTAACCTTAAATGATGACGGATTGGTTGACGCATGATCATCAGGTGATACCAACTTATGTGTTTTAATAAGTAGGTATAGGACGGGACATGTTGGTCTATCGATTTTAAAGTGCGAAATAACCGATCATTTTAAACCCGCAGCCTTTACCATGCTGACCCATTGATTGTTTAGCTTTCGGTATTGACTTTTATATTCCTTTTCAGAGGATGGGCGATAGAGAGTAGCATCACTAAGATGTTCCTCTGTTATCTCAACATCCAGCTGGCGAGGGATAACTACGAACTCTCCCTCCTTATCACTAACAGACAATCTTATTGTTTTCGAGTTTATTAATTCTCTAATTTCCCGCTTGCCACATTTTTGTGNGCGTTATTACGAAACGCGTTACGTAGACGTTCTAGGAACATTTGGGTGTTTGTGAGGTGAGCTGGAATGTGGTTAAGCAACTGGGTAAGTATCAGGTTTAAAAACCAGGTTATTCTATCCGTTGGCCCGTCTACACAACTGATGATCGGTCTAACCTTAAATGATGACGGATTGGTTGACGCATGATCATCAGGTGATACCAACTTATGTGTTTTAATAAGTAGGTATAGGACGGGACATGTTGGTTTATCGATTTTAAAGTGCGAAATAACCGATGATTTTAAACCCGCAGCCTTTACCATGCTGACCCATTGATTGTTTAGCTTTCGGTATTGACTTTTATATTCCTTTTCAGAGGATGGGCGATAGAGAGTAGCATCACTAAGATGTTCCTCTGTTATCTCAACATCCAGCTGGCGAGGGATAACTACGAACTCTCCCCCCTTATCACTAACAGACAATCTTATTGTTCTCGAGTTTATTAATTCTCTAATTTCCTGCATGCCACATTTTTGTGCGGCTATATGGTTAGAGATAAACTTTCTATCGCGGTAGTGATCAAGGGTCTTGAGAACGCCATCCGAAAACACACGGAATTTTACGTCAACTCCATTGTTAGGGTCCTGCTGTCTAAAGAACGTTTTTGGGATAGGAGATGGTGGTAATGTCGCCGCCTCTTGATTTTTATCTCTATTTAATGTTTCATGATCATGTAATTACCGAAGAGTT